AACAGTAGCCTTATATAATACTTTTCGTAATTATAAAACCACTATCCGCAACACGTGACAAATAAAAATTCCAACACAGATACATCAAACTGTCAATTTATACATCAAAATTGTCATTTTTTGTTTCAATTTTTTTTAAATTCTCGATAATGCATAATTTGATTTGAAAAAAAAAATGCATACACATAGAAAATATTACATATTGTGCAATATTTTAAATGAATGTCCAAGAAGTAGTTTGAGTTGTATTATAATGATATTTGCATGAATTTGACAGCAATTTAAATATCTTGAATGAGTAACATTTTCATTAATAAAAAAAATCATAAAAGTACAAGTCTGCATAAACTATATCGTATTACCCGAATTGAAACAAAAATGTTTGACAGCATAAATCTACAACAGATGTATGTAGCGGGAATATTTGTGAGAAGAAAAGACACTTGGTCAAATATTAGTGGGAAAAAAGACTGTTATAATACGTGACTTCATACATTGCTTACTTTTTAGTTCACCTGAGCCAAGGCTCAAGTCAACTTTTCTGATCGAAATTTATCAGTTGTCTGTCGTTGTCGTCGTTAACTTTTTACAATTTCATCTTCTTCTCCAGAACCACTAAGCCAATTTCAACCAAACTTGGCACAGAGTATCCTTGGGTAAAAGGAATTAAAATTTGTTCAAATGAAATGCCACGCCCTCTTCCAAGGGGAGCTTGGACTTATACTTTTCTTTTAACTATAATTTGTTTATCTAATTAAAACCACAACGTTATATAAATGTTAAGGAAGTCATTTTTTTTACTTGAGTCTTGATATTTTCAACAGAGACTCGTGGGTACTTAAATTGTAAGGAAAGTGTGAACATGTGAATAAATCAAAAAGAGATACCCCCGGTAGCTAGATACAAATGTAATATATTTTGAAGTGATATTTTTCAAAATACAATTACAGTGATCATCCTTTCTTATTTCTTAGAAAATCAAAGCCTTCAATGGAAGCTTTTAAATGATTAAATTTAATCAAACGTTTAAAGTTTAATAATTATTACCCACTCATACTTACTCTTGCTTTATGTTTTATATGTTGACAATATTTTTATGTCCCTGTGAGATTTTGGGGCGTGTACCTTTTGGTCTGTCTGTCCGTCTGAGAAGACATTTCATTAGGTTTCAACATTTGTGACCTCATGACATTGATCGCGTGGCGCAGTGTTTAGAGCGTCTGCTCTAGAGTCGCGGAATAAGGAGTTGATCCTTACGTCCCGCCCACTGTGGAACGTGAAGACTGGTACTTGGGATGAGGCCGTATAAACCGAGGTCCCGTGTCGCAGTAAGTACTGGCACGAAAATAATCCCTCACTGCTCAATGGCCCTAAGTGCCGAGTTTAGGTAAAAAATTTGCATATGAGTGAAAAATTCTCGAGAGGGACGTTAAACAACAACAAACAAACAACAAACAAACATTGATTTTCGAGTTTTACCTTATTTTGAAAAAAGAATTAACCTTGGTCATAAATTCTTACTGATTTATTGCTAGGGCTTTTAGAATTAACGTGTATTCCTTGTGAGAAGACCTTTCTTTGGGTACAAACATTTTTGACTCTTGACTTTAGAATTTGATTTACTTTTGAAAGACATTAATTTTCTTCATGAGCTGCCATACGGAATTATCAGTGTTTCACAAACACATCTTGCCCCTGTAATCGAAGATTCAGGGACATAAAGTTTTTGCCATGTCCGTTCGTCTGTCTGCCTATCTGTCTGTCTGTCTGTTTGTCTTTAACCTTGTCCATAACTTTTGATTGGTTTGAGCTATGGCTTTCATATTTCACATCTGTATTCCTTGTGACAAGATCTTTCTTTGGGTACCATCATATTTGGCCTCTTGATCTTGGAGTTTGACCCAGTTTTGCAAAATTTTACCCAACTTTAACTTAGGCCATAACTTTTGAGTAGTTGGTGCTAGGGCTTTTATAATTCACATATGTAATCCCTGTGACAATACCTTACTTTCGATACCAACAACAATTTCTACCCTTTGACCTTGATTAGGAGTTTGACCTACTTTTGAAAAACTTTAACCTTGAACATAATTTTTGAATGGTTGGTGCTAGGGCTTTCATACTTCACATATGTAATCCTTGTGCCAGGACTTCCTTTGGATATTAAAAACTTCGACCTTGAACTTGGAGTTTGACCTACTTTTGGAAAACTTTAACCTTGGCCATAACTTTTAAACACATATGTATTCCTTGTGACAAGACCTTCCTTTAAATAACAATAATTATAACACATTGACCTTGACCTTGGAGTTTGACCTACTTTTGGAAAACTTTAACCTAGGCCTTTACTTTTGAACAGTTAGTGCTAGGGCTTTCAAACTTCACATATGCAATCCTTGTGACAAGACTTGACTTTAGATACCAACAACTTTAGCCCTTTGACCTTGACCTTGGAATTTGACCTACTTTTGAAAGACTTTAACATTGGGCATAACTTTTGAACGGTTTGTGCTTGGGCCTTCATATTTCACATGTGTGTTTCTTTTCAGAATGCCTTTCCTTTGGGTCCCATTAATTTTGACCATTTGAACTTTAACTTTTATGTTTGACTTTCTTATGAAAAACTTTAACCTTCTCCTTATCTTTACAATGGTTGCTGCTAGGGCTTTCGTATTTCACAGGTCTATTCCTCGAGACAAGACCTTACTTTAGGTACTAACATATTTGATTCGCACTTGAGAAAGTTTAACCTTCGCTATAAGTTGCCATTCGGGGGCATCAGTGTTTCACAAACACACCTTGTTTCCAATTATTCTATGTGTTAAGATTATGCAATATCTGTTTTAAATAAAGTACATAATTTGCATTTTGCTTTAGCTACACCTAAAATTCCAGCGAAATTAAAAAAAAAGGATTCAAAAAGTTGAGTTATAACCAATAGATTGCCGGTGCTTGGATAAGTACTGATTTCGTCTGATTTAAAAATAAATCCAATATATGCATTTATTTTCAAAAACTGAAACAAGCAAGCAAACAAACCGTGAAATTAGAAATATGACACTGTTTTTTCTAGACAAAGGTGTTTTCTCTTTGAATGCTAATTATTTTATTAAATAGTTTTCTCTTGACACTTTTTCCTATAATGCTGGATTAGTTCCTGAAGGGTCTAACTGTTAATAATGAAGTCAAGAAAGACATGTGGCCGTACTTTATAGTAGAAAGGAAGGTAGACTTTTGTGAATTCTGTTGAATATTTATATGTCTGGCTGTGACTTATTAAATGCACCTGTCAGGATATATGTAGCTATGAAACATACATGTTAATGAATTATTGGTAACAATAAATCACCGTGAACTACTTCTTTAAGTGGAATTGTGTGGTTCAAATTTTCTTTGAAAAAAAGAATCGGTATTTAATCATATAAAGTAATAATCAGGAAACTATTAGATTGCGGCCATGTTAGTCCTGAACATTTCTCGTTTTGTTTTTGCTCATGGTTTAATATTTTTTTTAAAGTTTAAATAAGAAAATCTTCTATTGAAGTCCGGTGTGAGTATACTGTAAAGAGTAACCTTTAAACGGAACAATTCTTATGATTTGAAGCGTATAAAAAAACCATACAATTTCCATGCAATATTTCCTTGATTAGATATATTAGTTTTGATGGTTAATTATCTGTTTTTATCCAGGTAGATTACTGCCTGTTCATATGTTTATTTCAACAATCTGCATCACAATAAAATATTAATGATATCCATATAATATTTTAGAAAGCTTCAAACAGCAAAACAGCTAAGATTTTTCTTTACGATTGTTTTTTTAAATATATTTTTTGATTTCATCCAATGAAATTGTATTTTTGTTCCCAATTTCCCTATATTTAAGTATTATCCTGTAAATAGTAATCAAATAAGACAAAGATGAAACGTATTTATTTTTAAAATGATACAGAAACAAAGCATTCAACTAGAGCATGAGGTAGATTAATCTGAAGAAAAAAACAAACTTACGACATAAATATACTCTGTAAATTCTCTTTGTTTTAGTAACAATCTATTGTCTAATATCGATTACATGTACACTGTAAATATAAACTTGATAATTTTAGAGGTAGATTTTGAGAATCCAATTTTGTAATGAATAAATAATGTACGGAATGAAAAGTTTTCAATCACAAAATACCAATCCAAAGCAAACCCTATCATTTTTTCAGCTCCAGGAATGATGCCTTAAAATGTTTGATTTAATTCATTTTAAAAATTTCTAACATAAATATAGAACTACCAAACATATATTTAAAAAACAACATCGTTTGACTAAGGAATACAGGTTAAAAATACAAAGATAACTGAAAAGCAGATGGTGTGGTAGGATACAAGGTCAAGAGGACGGATCTGTAATCCTAGTTCTAATTTCCTTTTTTTCAAATCAAACTTCCCTAACCATTTTCTTTTTCTTAGTAAGTTAGGAACTTCTAAGTTGCTTTAAATCAAATTTAAATAAATTTAAATTAGAGATTTTTCCCCTAATTTCTTTCTTTTCTGAAAAGATTGAAAGAAATGTAGATTGAAAACCAAACAACGTGAACTAACAAATTTAGCACAGCAAAAGATTAACTATAATCTAATATAACTAATATCTACTAAGGTATAAATATAGGGGGACAACAAATCATGGCACAATTATATGTTAAGATAAAAATTGAGTAACCAAGCATCAAAATGATATATATATATATATATATATATATATATATATATATATATATATATATATAATTCTAAACATAAAAATTAAAAAAAAGCACTTTTCATTAGTTTTGTAAAGGTTGGCCTTTAATTATCTAAGACCATAATAAAGATATATTTTTGCAAAAATAAATTGATAATGACTAAATACTAAAAATGTCAGTATATTGACATTTATTTCAGCACTATTTGTTCTTTGCAGTTTGTTCATTTCAAAACAATGTTTATTTACTAACAAAAATAGATAAAAGTATCAACTGAATTTAGGGGAATACAATCTTAATCATTAAAAATGAACATTTAAATTATTATTATTATTATTATTATTATAAAAGCTCGGAAAATGAATGGATCTTGTCAAATGGTAGAAAATAAAATAGCATGTTATTATATTCAATTATCTGAAACCAAATTTAGACTTTAAGTGTACATTATATGATAATCCACATCCCTTTTATACCCCAATAAAAGTATTCTTCTTTTAAAACACAACGAATTGCCAGTAAGAAAAAAACAATAAATATCAATTACAAGGATACCAGTTTCATCTTGAGGTAATAAAATACAAAAATACATACCCTACTACCGTAGGGAATAGTTATACTTTCTGAAATATGGCAGACAGTTCTATATATGGCACATGATTGTTAGCACTTTGTTACGAAAATGACCATCTCATAATATGTATCCCGATGATTGTATAAAACTGCCTCTATGTTAAATACAGAAGGAGGTCTTAACACAGCAAACAAACACAAAGTAAATGTCTACACAGTAGGAAAAACTAATATTAATCCTCCATATTAACTACAAGTTTAAAACGTTTTACCTTTAAAACTAACTATTTCTTTTTCAACTTCAAATGCGATATCCAAATTATTATTTTTGCGAAATTTGAAGTTTTCTTATCGGCATTGATTCACACGTTTCGATGGGAATCAAAGCTTTAGATATTTTTTAAAAATACAAAAAGTACATTTCTACATAATATTTCAAAGCCTTGCCGCCCACAAATAATCCAAAAACCATCTAAACAAAGCCACACATAAACACACAAAACATACTAGCATCTGTCAAAAATATATGTACAACTCTACACCCGTAATACAAAGACCTGATTTCAATCAAACATAATTCTACAGCACTAGAAAAACAATTGGACCCGGGACATCAGAGGTAGGTCATGTTCGTGTTAACCCGACAGATAAATAACACTGATTTACTCTTATCTACTTGTCTGTAGAATTAACGTAGCATGTCCTGAAAACAATAGTTAAGAACGATGATTTACATATTTCATACCCGCAAAACACATGTCCGTTCCAAGAGCCTGCTGGTTTATCGAGGACATTATGACACACTTTACTCAAAGCTTACATAACCATTTTTATCGATAATTTGCACAGTACACCACGGATAACAGTAATTCAAATTTTCATACAAATAAAAGTATGGTCGAAAATATTAACAAAAAGAAAAAAAAACAAGGCCAACATACGTATCATTGAGTCTGTAAAGTTCAGGTAAATATCAATAAAGGAAATTTACATGAAATAATTGATCACTTGTCTCTTCATTAATTTACCCGTTTTATTTAAACACTAGCCAGATATGCTTTACTTGTCGTTCCCCATATTTTCATCCTCTTGTGGTTCTGATTTTAAGGTCTTTTTTCTATCTATCATGTCTTTCAGTTGCTTCATCTCGTCCTGTAAAGTGTCCAGTTCATGTCGGAGTTTTCCATTCTCGGTTTCCAGGTAATCTGACTTGGCTTCTCTCATTCTTGTTATACTTTTTCTATTCTCGCGACATCTTCGTGCAGCTTCGTTGTTCCGACGCCGTCTTTCGGCGTATTTCGGGTCGATTAACGACCTCTGATTCATTCTACCACTTCTTGGAGACAAATCCGAATCTTCCAGTTTGGATTTCTTTACAAGGGGCAGTGGACCAGACTGCGCAAGAGCTATTTCAGATAGTTGTGTCAGTCCATTCACCATGGGACCAAAGGCAGCACTTTGGAATGCGGCACCGAAGTCCATTGGTACTTTATGTCGTAGTTTATGTGGTAATGCCATCGTTGGTGGACTTTGTGAGACAGGGCTATCTGGAGAAGAATAAGATACAGAACTTTCATTTCCTGAGAAACTGTCGCCGCGTTTTCGCACGGTCAGTGATAAAGGTTCATCCTGGGTATGATCATCTGAGGTGTAATCTGTAGGAAGGATATTTTCCTCCTTTACAGACGATGGATTAGATTCTGCTGCTGCTGCTTGAATGTTTGCTGACGTATTTGATAGTGAATATTGTGAAGGAAGTGAGGTAGATTGAGAGGAGTGAAGTTGACGACCCTGAGTTTCATTTGATTCCCCTGAGAGATACATTTGTCTTCTATTGATAACTAAATCCTCAACATTTGATGACTTAGGGCTGTGCTGCAAGAGTTTTTCTTGCATATGAGATGAACCAATTGAATTAGATGATAATTGACCTTGATAATTTTCTGGGGCTCCAGACGATGGCACTGCTGCTATAAAGTATGACATTGGTCCTTTAGAATTGTAGTTTCCTTGTAAAGAGATCGGTAGCGGAATGGATGATTGCATGGGCACCATGGTTGGTGGTTGAGACCCATGAAGAATGGATCCACTCGCTCTAGCTGCTGCCAAGTAACTCATAGAAGCGTTCGTGTGATGATTTGACACAGGCGATAGCGATCGTTCCTTACTTTTGGTGGCAGTTGTTTTGTTGTCTTCATTGATATCGAATGTTTCGTTAAGAGGTATGCCAAAGTGCTTCTTGATGGCAAACAATTCGTTCCTAATCTGACAATTTTCTCGTGTTAATTCCATTATCCTATTTTCTAAAACCACGTCATGAAATCTTCGTTTCTCTCTAGATTTTCTCGCAGCTTCGTTGTTTTTTCTTCTTTTCTCCCAGTAATGATCATCTTTCCTATTCTCTGGGATGAATTCTCGCTGTTTTCTGGTCGGTATATAAGGGTTGGAGCCATCACTTGTCGGGTCTTTATCCGTGTTGCTTGATGTTGGAGCCACGATGCAGGTCGGTATGTTCGAGGTAGGATTTGGAGAGTTTGTGTCTGAGCTACTGTTTGGAGAACGAGGGTAATCACCAGATTGATCCATTGTCACTGTGTTTGGTTTTCGTTCGCTACTGATTGCAGAAGTCGAGTCTGCATAACTACGTGGTCTGTCCGAATTTCCGTAATCTTTTTGCATGTACTGGTATTCCCTGAGATAACCCTTTTCTAATCCAGTCCTGTCAAAAAATGAAGTAAATATAATTTAAATATTACTATTCCCATCCCTTACATAACAAAAATATTCTTTTAAGTATTTTTTTTCATCAAACCAAATATTTTCGTGACAAACCATGTTTTTACATGGTTTGTCACGACAATATTTGAATGCAATTCGTGTTTGACTTCCTTTTTGAAATATACAATGGCATTAGGATATTGTAAGGTTTAAGTCTGAGTACTAGTTTCTAGTTTTACGTAACCATAAAAAATGCTTTTGTAGAGCACAGCTTAGTTCACAAAGGATAATTGTCATTTAAGTACTTGCACAAAGTTAAATAGGGAACATATAAAACAATCTATTAAATTTACATGTACTGCCTGAATGATACACCAGTGCATTAATGAAAGTCATCAGACCTCTTGTCATTTACATAATTTCAATGTATTACAAAATGATTAAGACAAACTTCCACCTTGACTTTTGATAAAGGAAGCCAATCGGGATGCGTCTATCAATGTCGTATTTGGCTAAGTCAACTTCCTGTATATCTAATTACGTTCTTTTTTAACAAAATGGACGAATAGCTCTATCTATATTACCCATTGAAATGCTAGAGGTATACATAAATATCTTAATTTACAATATGTCCCTCTGTGCGACTTCTGCTTAAAATCCTTCCAAACCTCAATACGAAGAACAAAAAATCTTTCAGCTTAAAAAAATTTACACATAGGCAAGTATCTGTACTTCTATTATTGCCTCTTTCTGTGTAGTTAAATAAGTTTTCATTAGGATGTGCAAAAATTTCCTGTTTTACAGATAATACCAAGACTGTAAAAGGCAAATGTCACCAAAAAAAAAAAATCCACAGCAATACAGTGCAAGACTGCGTGGAAAATCTCATTGAATCTCTCCTACCAGCATAATCAGCCTATCAGTTTTTACATAATGAATTTTTATTAGAACTGTGATCTTAATAATAACAAAATCATGCATCCATCTTATGACAGTTTACATTTATATAACTTTATTTTTCATTAATGTCCCGGCCCTCTATCCCTGCTTCCGTGTAAGCTGTTCTACTTTCAAATTTAACCTTCAATGTGATTTTAAGTTATCGAGTCGAAACATAAAAAATACACAATGCTCTTGTTTTGGTTTTATAATGGTGATTTAGTGCTTTTACGAATACATAATTAGAAGTACAAAATTTCACGAGGTTACAGCAGTATGAATATGATATTGAATCACCTATTCTGAGAAAAGGCAAGCTTTAACGAGAAAAAATAACCCATTAGTATTGAATCTAACGGGGAAACGGCATTTAACTCATTAAAATAGGAACTTTAATTATGATAATTTACGAAAGGAAGGAAGAGATAAAAATAAAATTCAAGCAAATTAAATATAACTAAAGAAATGAAAGTTATTGTTGGAGGTAAATTCACTTGTATATTATAAGGGAAATAATGAATTCTCCAAGAATTACCTCTCTTATCTTAGGTATCGTCTTCCTTAAGGTCAGTGTTTCTATAATAACCGCAAGCTCTTTTCAAAGAGTGGCGTGAACCTTGACTGTCTGGCTGACCAAACATGAGGCCAATGGGCCACAATGCTCACCTTGCTGACCTTGGTCCTGCTTTTCCTTTTTCCACCTGGGTAGAATTGCCCATTGTATCCTCACCATACCCCCCGGTGGGATGGGGGTGGTCATGGTTTGAACAAACTTGATTCTACACTACCTGAGTATTTTTCCATTTAGATATGACTAATCATGGCTTTTTTGTTCTTGAAAAGATTTTAACGATTTTTTTTTCTATATATTCCCACGTAAAAATTTGATCGTCCATTGCAGCCCCATCCTGAAGTCATGATTTGAACACATCTGAATCAACACTACCTGATGAGGCTTCCATATGAATATGACTAATTATGGCTTTTCTTTTCTTGAGAAGATTTTTAAATGATTGTTTCTTATATATTCCCATGTAAAACTTTGATCGCCCACTGGAGCCCCACCATACTTCTGGGGGTCATGATTTGAACAAACATGAATCTACACTGGGTAATGAAGCTTTCAATTAAGTTGCATCTTTTCTGGCCTAGTGGTTCTTTAGAAGATTTTTGAAAGGTTCCATTTCATTAATTCTTCATCCCCCCTTTCAAGAGGGTGTGGTCCTTTATTTAAACAAACTTAAATCCTCTTTACCCAAGGGTGCTTTGTGGCAAGTTTGGTTGAAATTGGCCCAGTGGTTCTGGAGAAACAATTCAGAAATTTTAAAGTTTACAGACGGATGACGGATAAAATGTGATCAGAAAAGCTCACTTTAGTTTCCGCTTCAGTTGAGCTTAAGAAAACTATTTTGGCAATATTTTTATTACCAAAGTGAAACTATTAAAAAAATATTATTTATCATTATAAGAGATAATATATAAATTTCGTTATTTGTTTGATATTTTGTATAAACACGATTACCTAAAAATCAAACAGGACTGGATAGAGTATTTGCGTTATATAAATCAAATGAAATAAAGTATGCAATGTATTCGTAATATTTTTATCACTCATTTGGACATTGAAACCGAGATATGTCCGTGAATAAAAGGAATATAAACAATCGTAAAAATGATTTGTGTGGGTGTATCGATCAATATGCGATTTCAATACAATAATACCTTAATGGAGATATTACTTCCCATCTGTGTCATACATTTTGTATGCGAGTATCGCCTACTACAGTCATGGAAGTTACTTTGAAACAATAAGAGATAAATTCCAACCATTTATCGATCTGGTGCAATGCATTTATTCCTAAACAATTTTAAAGAGAAGCAAGTCATAATTCGCTTTTTTGTAACATACTAGTAGTTCAAAATTGATTTTATCAGATAAACTTTTTTCAATAACTCGTTTGAACGACTGTCAATTCTCACAATTTTTTTTGTGTGCAAATGGATGTTGTGTGAAGATAGATTATTGGTTTTGGCTTGGTTTTCTTGGATTGTTAAGTTTAATTCATTTTGTAGTTGAGTAACAACATCTAATATATTTTGAAATCGGTCACCTCGACTTGGGGTTATTTTTTAATCGCACTTGAACTATCCTAGCATAAAAACACGAGTTTACGTCCGAGATGGCATTACTTCCTCCCGATACCCCTCTCTTTTTGTCATTAAAAGTGTACTTCTAAATCTTTGGTTTGACAAAATATGTCCTCTTCTTTTTTTTTACCTTCAACATCTGCACCGGTTAGAGTGGCTGACGGAGATCAAACAAAAAAAAGACACTGCTTGACTATTTCATAGCAAAATTTGAAAATTCTTCAATGAAACTATGGTAATAAGATTAATAAAAATATATTAGTATATGGTAATCATATGCCTCAGGAATGATGAAGGACAACTTTCTATAATAAATTAAATATATTAACAATAACAAATCTATGTATGTAGGAAACACGCAACATTTCAAGTATCAACTTTCATAGCAATTCGAATATTAATTTCATCACGACTATTAGATGTGAAATAAGCAACCTAATTTTAGTAAACGGTAGACTATTTTACTATTTTTTGAGATAATTTGGACCTAAATACATAAAGGTTTGTTTATCGTCAATATGTTACACGTCTATATATAATGATTCCTGTTTCATAAGCATCGCTCTTGGCAAAAATCAATCCATGATAAAAGGAAATTTTTTATGCTTGGATATTCAGAAGCTAAATATAGTGCATAAATGTTTTGGAAATGAATTACACAATTAAAAAAAATGTTACATAAGAAAAAAAAATTCAGGTAATTTATGTTTTTTCGTGATGTGCCTTCAAATATGATTTCAGATTACATAAGTGGACAATGATTTATAGTTCTGCTGTCCGAACGTTCTCATTTACAGAATAATTGACAAAGATATATATACATAATTTTTTACTAGAGTTCGAAGCATAAAATAAGATACTAAATGATACACAAAGATAAAAACACGATAAGTGCAAAAAGAAACTCTAAATGTGCGCTTGAGTATGCATGGTGTACGTTTACGATTTAAATTAGTTTGAAGTGCAACAAGTTTGGTTTTTCTTCTTCTTCTAAACACTAAGATAGGAACAGCAAGATTGTATCAGGGCGCTGGTTAGCAGGCCAAAGGTCATCGTAAGGACATGACCGATGGATCTCATTTTACCAGCGCCCGTACATGCTCGCGCAAATCGCAGACCAGCGAGTCAATTTACTGCAAGTTCTGAATCATTGAAAATAAAAAAGAAAAATACCGAACCAAAAGAGGAGGAAAAGGTCAAAGAGTCGCGCAGGCCTCAATCTGACTTTCACCCCCTCTGTGGTCAAATTTTCTATTTGTATTTTGTTTCTAAGTGTTTTTCCGAGTGTGACATGAAGAATGGTTGACCTGAGAAGATCAGGCAGATAACATTTACAATAGTCCTTTTTTATTATTATGATTATTTTCTGAAACTGGAGATGCAAGCACATCTGTTCATTTTATATAGGGAGTATAAAAAGTGGCATGCAAATGAAAAAGTATAAGGATAAAATATATTTTAAAAATTCTTATTTTAAAATTAGAACAAATCTATGGGACAAATCCAGTTCAGAGAGTGAAATCAGAAAACAAAGAACAGTAGGTTTTAAGTTTTTCATTTTTAAATGACAATCTTTTTATTGGCACTAACTGATACTATATTAAATCGGCATGTTATAAAATAGTTTTTTGTATATAGCATAAGTCAGCATTTAATTTCATCCTCTGTATAAATTTACTACAATTAAGAATTGTTTATCAAGTAACTGTAAGGTAAGTTTAAACATTTTACAAAAACGCAATAAAAATGATAATTTATTGCATAAAATACAGGTGAATAATTACAGTGTAGAAAGATCATCAACAGATCGCAGGGTTTTAACAAGGAAAATGTTCGTATAACCTTATCGAACTTGTCCTGGGTTTCATTCAGGTATGTAAAGATTTAAAAAAACAAACTTCAGATTTCGTAATACCATTTTCGACCTGTCACACAAACGTACTTAACCGGTAAAGCAGACAAGTAGTCGTGCATACTTTAGTAAAATCCGTGTATGATTTGTAACACACATAAAACCAACCAAACTTTAAATCAAATATATAATTTAAAAGGACATAAAACTTGGCTTTCAAATTATTCAAATAAATCCATATGGTACAATGTATGTTTAAAAGGTGATGTATATGAATTAACGCAATTAATCATTACATCATATTCATGCGACAGCGGTCGTTGAAAATTCATTAAAATATAGCTTACCTTTTATCACCCCACGCGTTAGAAAAAAAACAGGTTAGAGTCGACATGTTGCCTATTGCAGTGGTTTTACAATCGGCCTACACAGTTTACTAAGCCGCTTTACGTAACTCTCCCAAAAAGTTATGTAATTTGTAAGGGCAAGGTTGTTGTTTTTGCGATCCACTTTCCGAGATAAAACACCGTGTTACATGTTGGTTCAATATTTTGTAGCACGTGACAAACTACGCCAATACGTTACGTATCAATAAACAATGCACATTCAGTCCATAGATTTTTTTTATATAAGAAGTTTTTTCATCACAGTTATACTAATTTGTAAAACATAAGGCACAAATGTACTACTAAACTCTCTCAAACCAACACGAAGATGCTGTTTTGAGGAATGCGCTGTAAGTTCATGTGTAAAAAACACATTTATCGTACAGTAAGTAAACACAATCGTGACCTTAAAACACAGGCCAAAAGTTCAAACAAAAGAAGTTAATTATAATTTAATTCCTCACCTCCTTCGTTCTCAAGCGCCGTATCTGCTTGTCCGGGAGGTGCAACTTCTGATCATTGCTTTCTGAGGTAGAATCTGCCCAAAGTACATATTATGTAATGCGTAAGGGACAAAAAATAACAGATCACGTGGTTTGCACTTGAACCGACGTGACCTTACTAGCCTTAGATTAAGGACAACAAATACAACCGAGGAAACAATTTTTAACAACAAAAAACAAGAAGTGAACAGCAACTGCTGACCGAGGTTAATTTAATATAAAAGATTCCTTTACCTGTCTGAAAGGTCATCTGAGGCAAAGCTGCCATCAGATCTTTTTTGATCCCCTATCGTATCTTTCCCAATTCGGAGCCATGATTTTTCAGCACTGCTAGTATGACCTAGCAATTTTAATGCGTGCGCATACAAATTATATAATGGGCGCGTAACTAATACATCTTAAAAAAAGAAGTAGGTCAATTATTTGGGCATACAAAGGGGGTTGCGTGTCATCTCAGATAGAATGAATTTGTCGAGGCTTGTTTTGTGCTACCCAATTGAAATTTTTAAGATGAATGATAAGGGAAAATTATTCGAGGGGATCGTAAAAGTGAAGCGAGTTCGAGGGTTGACAACAGAAAACTCCGTTCATTCATAAACATACGATGCACATACGCATATTGCAATGATTTAATATTAGAGTTCCTTGCATGAAAGGGGATACGTAAACATTACCTCGAAACATTAAATTCTAAAACTATCTAATTTATTTAAAAATATACTTTCCAGTCCAATTTCAATAGCTCTTTTTAAACAATATCATTTATATCTTATCAAAATAACTCACAAGATCTTTTGCACATGATAGGACTTGTGCCATTTTTTATTCCAGCTGTCGTGGAATTTTTTTTCTTTTGGTTAGGTCAAGCAGAGGGTAACAATCTTTTCGCCCTAAGTTCCCCGCTGACCCCAGTACTGGACATGAACTTCTTCCATTCATGCGTTTTACAGAAACAGATCAATATCATTTCTCCTTGGCAACGCAGACTTGGTCTTAATATTTTACAGTTAATATGTCTAAGTAAAACCTTCATTAAATGAATAATTTTTTATCCTTAAGAAAAATATTTCGCCAAAGTCCAAACACTACGTTTGAGTGATTCTAATTTAATTCCTCGGACTCGCGATGACCCCGTGCTGCATCTGGAAATGTTGCTATCAGAGAGATTATGGGTTGAATGTTTGTCGATGTAATCGCCAAATCGATAAACTTTTTTTACTTGTTTATTCTTTCCCTGCGAGAAAAGAGAAAAATTGCGGTCGATTGAGGTCGCACTATATAACTATGGAATGCATGGCGTTGACTGCAGTTGTATCGATAACAAGTGCGCAGGCGCAGTGATATTATCATAACTCAAGGACCTCACCTAAGATTCACCCCGAATGACCGCTAGTAAACATTTAAAATACATTCTGTGCACAATTGATATAAACAGACACGAAAGCGGAACGTTAAAAAACCTATTCTGTAGGAAAATTTAGTTAAGGATTTTGTATCAAAAAATGTTTTAAAGAAAAAAATTGAATTTTTTTACGTTTACAATGAAATCATTTTAGATTGTGTTTAAATGAAAGTAAAAAATAGATTTTCAGTAGTCTTTTACCCTGCTCCACTGCACAATCGAGATCGCCTTAAGTAACAGAGTCGGAGACACTGAAATGTGATTAAATCTGTGAAATCAGCAATAATTTTAGTTTTGATTTACAATATCCTTGTCTGATTATTTCATCAAACTTATACCTGCCACACTTTTGCCGAACAGTATCTGCTTTTGAAAAAAAAATCTATAGACATTTAAATCAAACAAACATCTATTAAAATTTCTCAGTTTTAAAGGATACCAAAACTTACTTAGATGGGAAGCAAAATTAAGATGCAATCAAAATCTATGTAGTCTTTGGAGACCAATCTGTTGGAAATTCGAAAATTAATTATATTTGCATGACGTTTTTTTTATGACAATTGTATCTATCTTCTGTTATGTTCTGTGGGAATGTTGTAAGTGAATCCATTTCTATTGATCTGCACCTTTCTTCAAATCAATCGTAGCTACTTTGATCTAAAAATACGATTGAATAGAACCTATCTTTAATCAAATCGAAGATGCTTATTCAATTAAAGATATATGTCTATTCCGACTAAACAAAGGTTTAATTTTTGTAAGAAAACCATTCTTCATGATAAATTAAAGAGCATCTTTTTGACATCATAAACAACTGCTTCCTCAATAAACTTTTCATATTTTTTGATGACCATGTACAAAATAACTTTGTTAAATATCTTTCTGATTCTACATACAAGTACACTGAAGTTGATATTAAAAAGATGCTGGAGTTCCTCACTGGCATTAATGTATCTATGTAGCTTTTGGAGACCAATCTGTTGGAATTTCGATGGACACTAATTGTCCTCCTTTATTAGCCGACCTGTTTTATATACATATAAAGCAGAATTTATTCAAAAACTTCTACACTATATGAAGAAAAACTTTGCTGTGGTCGACATTTTAGATATATTTGGCGACGTTTTATCAATTAACAATAGTAACTTTCATTCATATGTCGACTCGATATATTCCAGTGAACTCGAAATAAAAGACACTACAGAGTATGCCACATCTGTTTCATATTTGGTTCTTTTACTGACTGTAGAGATAATGGCCAACTAATAACTAAATTGTATGACAAACGGGATGACCTTAACTTTCCATTTGTCAACTTATTTTATTCATGCAATAATATTCCAACATCACCTGCATATGATGTTTATGTAACTCAACTGATTTGATACACAAGAGCATGCTATGGGTACGTTCAATTTTTAAACCGAGGCAAGCAACTGACAAATAAACTGGTGTAACAAGGATTTCAACAACCCCGTTAAAAGTAAGCAAATTTTACGGTCGTTATATGACCTTGTTTGCAAAAATAACCCATTTATCTGACGTGTTTCATACCAAATGTTATGTCATTGCTTTTATACTAAACTAGATGAAATCCCATGCAAGCGCGGGGAATTTAATTTTTACCACTGCTGACGAAATAATTCTAATAATATATCTTATAGTTTGAATTAGTTTCTAGTGACAATTACAGGCTCATAGCTGGAAGGAATACTTTGTTCAAAATCCGGCAGTTAGATTACATACGCCCCCTTCCCCCTTCTTTTTTTAAACTTGAAAAATTTCAATTTCATTAATTGCAGGCCCGTAGGAAGCAAATTCAGTTGGGGGGGGGGGGGCACAGCCATACATTTTTCAATTGACAGAAGAGGGGGCACTACCAAAAATTTCCTGATAAGCAAAAAAAGGTCATCAACTACCAAAAATTCCTTGAGAAGCAAAAGAAAAAAAAGGGGCACCAGGCGTTTTTATTGAGGGGCACAAGCACATAGTACAGGGTCTATGTTTACTATAGTAATCTATATATCGTCAAAATTATTGGGGGCATGACCCCCCGTGCCCCCCCCCCCCCCGGTTCCTACGGCCATGAATTTACTATCACTTTACATGTTAGCAACTTTATTATGATATCTGTTGTACTATGTTATTCATATCGTACTACGGGTGCTAATTAATTGACGTTTTTGCCAAACATGTTAGCACCTTTATTGTGATATCTGCTAATTGTGCTGTGTTGTTAGATATTATACTTCGGGTGCTCTGTTTCCATTAAAGAAGCAAATGTGATAATTTATTTTACTGAATTTGTCAGCACATTTTTGGTTTGAAATTAGCTTTTCACTTCTTATGTATATTGATCTAGTATTTAATACAAAAAAAACCTGTATGTAGAAAAACCCACTAAAATGTACTGTTTTAAGCACTTTTTTAAAAATGCAGTTTTATTAAAGTGTGAAAACTTAAAATGCACCACTTTTACTTCATATATAAAAACAATAGCATATTCATTAATTAACATTTTCTCTTTAGCAAGTTTATAACTATTGTAGATCGGGTTCCTTCCTTGATGCTCTCATTAGCTAGTGCACACATATTACTGGGAAATTTATTAGCACAACTTACTTAAAGTATTTCGATATACTTGTATAAATATTTTCATCACTCATAGTGGTAACAACTGCTTTACCATTATTTAATGCCCATTCAAATCAATTTTTTTTTCGTATTCATGTAGTGATAATCGCCTCGTTTTCCTTTTAATATCGGGTTTGATGCCATCTGAACGTTCTAGAAATTTCCATCAAGATTAAGATCGATGATTAACGAAAACGATTTGCACATTTTGTTTTTTAATCAGTCATCACAACTTATGTCTTCTATATCAGTTAAATCAAGTTTTGATTGAACAAATCATTAAAGATGTATGAATTGCTTGATGTTAGTTTCATTAAAAATTGTCAGCAGCTTAGATCTGCCACCCGTAACCACCACCGTACTCTCATTTTTGCTATTTCACGGCTGTTTAAAGAAAATGAATGTCGACTTTAACTTAAATTTACAATAATTACTATGCAAGTGAAATCTAAATTGCTTCCTACGAGCCTGCATAGAGCTAACATAGGTCAATGGGGAATGCTTACTCCTCCTAGGCACCTGATCCCACCTCGGGTGTTTCAAGGGATCCGGTTTTTTTGCTCCGTTCAAGATTCGTTTTGATTAATGGTTTATAAGATACATGTGTAGGTCACTATTCGTTATCTTCATCTTTTACATTTTACCTGACTTGCCACAGTTTATTCGATTACAGCACCATTAATTTTGTGGATTTCAAATACTTAAATGAATATTATGATATGTTAAGTATTTTTTTTAATGATTTTTATTATTTATTTATTTATTTATTTTTTTTTTTTGGGGGGGGGGGGGGTGTATATGTTTCATTTAAAGTTTTGTAGAAATCTCAGTGTCAAATCTTCTTCAGATATGTAAGGAAAATGACGAAAATTTCGTCAAAGTCAGTGTTTTTATTGGACAATTTTTTCTTCTAAAAAACAATGTGCTCATCTTCAGATTTGGATTCATCTAATGATAATTCAAAAAATAAAGACACTATCAATATAATAAAATTTTAGGGAAACCAGAATTCAGAATTGAGATATTTATTGCTAAAAAAAAAAAATAGGTATTAGGGGTGTAGGGTATAGGGAGCTCTGGGTTGAGGTAGGATCCTTGATGTCTGTCATGCTGCTCCCTGTAGAGTGAATGGGCATAACCGGTCCTCATCAATCCCAGGGTTGTCCCTAAGACCCGGGGTTTGAGGAATTTTAACGCCTATAATGACGTTATCCCTCGGTTATTCTGGGATCCCCCCCCCCCTCCAACCCCCTGCTAGGGGTTGAACCCTACTCACCCTTCAAATCTTTTAATGTCCCCCGCGATTTCAA